CGTGGAGTCGGTTCCGACTCATAGCGACCCTGTACAGGGTTTCTGAGGCTGTAAATCTTTATGGGAGCAGAAAGCCTCATCTTTCTCCCGCGGAATAGCTGGTAGTTTCGAACTGCTGACCTTTCGGTTCACAGCCCGATTCATAATCACTATGCTAATCATTCTTTAAACAGATGAAAATACTAATCACAAGATTTATATGGAAAGGAAAGCGATCCCAAATAAACCAACTATTATATTACAAAAGAAGAACAAAGTTAAGAGTAACACTTCCCAATTTGAAAATCTACTGTACAGACACAGTAATCAAAATAGTCTGGTATCGGTACAACGCCAAATACATAAATCAATGAACTGAGAACTCAGAGTAAATCCATCCACCTATGGGCAGCTGATCTCGGAGCAAGGACTGAAACTCATTAAATGGGGTACAGATACTCTCTTTAAGAAATGGTGTTGGAAAAACTAGATATTAATTTGGGAAAAAACATTAAAGAGAGAGAGAGAAACAAGATGTACATTGCACACAGAAAATCCGACACAAGATGGAGCAAAGGCCTATAGGTAAAATCTAAAATTATAAAGACAGAGCAAAACTAGTAGGCAAACTTACAGGCCCTGACACAGGAAGCAAATACACTCTCAAACATAATTAAAGTAACACAAACAGAAGACAAACTAAATAACTGCTCATAACTGTTTAAATCTTAGGAGATTCCAGTCATGAGCATCCGAAGACTTTTCAAAAGAGTAAAAAGAGAACCTACAGACTGGGAAAAAAATTGGCAATGACATTTCAGACTATCTCTAAAGTCTATAGAAAATTTCAACATCTCAACAACAAAAAATAAACAATCCAATTTTTAAAAGGGCAGAAGACATAAACAGAGACACTTCACCTGGAATTAGCCTAGAAGCTAATTTCAGACTGAAGAATTTGGTAAAGGTCTTCAATTTCTTCATCATTGGCTTTGGTGGTTGGTACATAAATTTATAACCAATAATAGCTGCATTAACTGGTCTTCCTCGCAGGTTTACAGACATTACCCTATCGCAGACAGCACGGTATTTCAAGATAGATCCTGAAGTCTCTGATCAGCCACTGAAGGAGAACTGTGGGTGTGTATGTGTGTGTCTGAGTGTATGGACAAGGAGGTGGGGGCAGGATTTAGAATACCAACTCCTTGGACTCCATCTGTTATTCGTTTTATTCCCCCAAAATCGATCTGGTGAAGGTGAGTGTTATATTTGCATTTCTCTTCATTCATTTTCAAACCTTTTGAAATTGTAGGGTCGGGGTGGTAGGGAATGGCAGGAAAGGGGAAGGGAGGAGACAAGTAGCAGAAGAGGAGGTGGGGGACATGGAGATGAGGAAGAGGATTAATCTGGAGTTAATAACAAAGCCCTGGAGGAGGTGGTGTTGCCAGAGTTGGTCCTTGATAACTGCAGGTGTGTCAGTGGGGAAACTGAAAGTCTAAATGATACCTTTAAGAACTAAGTATCTGAGTATGGCTGATGTGGGACTAAATTCACTGGCCCTACTTTGTGGCGCTGTGGGTTAACACGCCAGACTGCAAAGCTGTTTCAATTGCAGGGCTGGCGGTTCAAGCTCACCAACTGCTCTTTGGAAACCCTATACAGGGTCGCTATGGGTCAGAACCGACTCGATGGCACTTAACAACTTTCCAGCTTAAATAAACTTCCAAAGTTAGACCTTATTAACAATAGTATTTCTGGAGGCTTAGAAGTCCTGGTTGAGAAATGTCCAAATCTTACCTACCTCAATCTGAGTGAAAACAAAATCAAAGGTCTCAGAACAGTAGGTTGGCTGGTTACTTATGTGCCGTGGAGTCAGTTCTGACTCATAGTGACCCTGTATAGGGTTTCCGAGGCTGTAAATCTTTACGGGAGCAGAACGCCTCATCTTTCTCCCACGGAACAGCTGGTAGTTTTTGAACTGTTAACCTTAAGGTTCGCAGCCCGTTTCGTAACCACAAGCTCTGTAAAATCTTACATTTGCAAAGTCTTGACTTGATTAATTGTGACATCACAAACGAGAAGTTTATGTTGTTGTTACGTACCGTGGAGTCAGTTCCGACTCACAGTGACCCTGCACAGGGTTTCTGAGGATGTGTATCTTTACGGAAGCAGAAAGCCTCATCTTTCTCCTATGGGACGGCTGGTAGTTTCGAACTGCTGACCTTGAGGTTAATAGCCTGATTCATAACCACTACATTACCAGAGAAGTTTATATAGAAAGTTATTTTTGAATTGCTGTAGCAAAA